AATGCAGAGTTGTGTAATTCAGTCACAATATAACTCCCACACCTCAGGCTCCAGGAACATTGTACAAGACAGGGCAGAAAGACAAAAGAGCCTGAGGATCCGAAAGTTTACTGTGAGACTGTGTCTCCTGGCAATGTTAGAAACTGCATTCATAAGATCTCACCAGCATGACTGCCCAAATGTGAGCTAAACAAGGACAACAACACAGACACTAATATGTGTATATAGGGGTGAGGGTGGGGGACCCCAGAGCTCTGTGGCCGCAACCTACACAAAGAACTACAAACTGCTTAGAAATGCTGAGAATGGAACAAACCACTTTCCCTAGGGAAGAACACACCAATTAACTGTCCAGTGTCAAATGGTAGCCCTGGAAACATACATACAAATAATATTGTACAGACTGAGCATGTTCTTTTTAGGAGTGTGTGTGTGTGTGTGTGTGTGTGTGTGTGTGTGTGTGTGTGTGTGTGACTTATTAGTGGGGGGAAGGCCATTAATTTGAAACAGAGCAAGGAAAAGTATAATGGAACATCTGGAAGAAGTAAAGGGGAGAAACAATGTATGTGTAGTAATTATATGATAATCTTCAGTGCAGAGTGGGAGCTTGATGGCCAACCAGCTTGGATGGGAGAGAGTGAGAGGAAAGCCTCCTCCCAGGGTCTGCAAGTATGTGAGCAGTGGCACACACCCCTGTTCACTCATGTGCATGCAACACACACATGCACACAGTCTTTTTAAAAAAGGAATTTTATTCAAGTAGTGGCTTCAGGAAAGATGTCTAGTTGAATCCTCCCATTCAGGCATTTCCTCTGAGGAAAGAACTGAGAAGGCCAGCTGTGACTGGTGGCATACACCTGCGATCCCAGCGCTAGAGAAACTAGCAGGAGACTGGAAGGCCAGCCTGGGATGCAGCAAGATAGCTATACTCTGTCTCCAAAAGGAGGGGAGGGATGTTGACTGGCAATATTCCCAGGCCCTACTATAGGCCAGAGCTGCATGTATTCCCCCCACACACCCCACCCCCAGCTTAGAGAGTGTTTGGCGTATACAGCTTAAATACCAGCGCTCCCAATGGGGCACGGTTCACCAAGCCAGCTCATTTATTCATTAATTTGCTTTCCATATTTCCAAACAGAGGTGGCTGCAGGCGGGGCGAATCAATATTGCACTCCGTGATTCATCTTCGTTCCTGCCACTTCCTGCACCAGCCCCTTGCACGGCTCCTCTGAGGGTCCTGAGCGCTGACGAATGGGGTTCTCTGAGGCAGCCACACGGCGTTAGCAGATTAAATCATTAATATCTGCATCGGTCATTTTTACGAGCCTCCCTTACTCCAGACTCCGCCGCCCTGTTTAGAGACCCATGCAGACATGCCGGGGACAGAATTGCCACTTCTGTGGCGTGATTGGCTGTGAGAGTCGAAATATTGATTTTTCTCTTCTGCATTTCTTTAAAGCAGGTATATTGTCCACAGTTGCAGAAACTATTGAAACGAGGTCTGAATTTTTACCCGCTGACCCCACCCGCACCCTATGCCACAGTGTCTTTCTAGAGAGGAGAAGATGGTCTTGGAGTTATAACTTAAGGTCTACAGGTTTGCAGCTGAGGGCCATACCAGGACTCTCAGGCCTCCACCCACAGAGATGTCAGGTGTTCTAGAGGCCTGTGTTTGTTTCCTCCGCATTCCTAAGGTAGTGCTTTATCATCTACATACTTCTAGAAACTTGAGTTTTTTCTGGTTTTTCTAAAATCATGTGTTACCCATAAGTTGGGATTTCCATCTGTAGAAATAAAGCTGAGGCCATAAGGGTGGCTCCTTCAAGATGGAATAGGTGTCTTTAAAGCAAGGGGAGGGGATCTGCTGAGGTAGCCTGCTTGATAAAGTGCCTGCCACTGCAATCATGGGGATCTGAGTTCCTATCCCCAGCAGCCACATAGAAGTCAGGCATGGTGGGTCACACCTGTAACCCGAGTCCTGGGAATGGGGAGAGGAGAAAGGAGAAGGGAGACCCACAGAATCTTGGAGATCACTGGCCAGCCATTGAGCCACCAGTGAACCCTGGGTTCAGAGAGAAACACTACCTCAAAATCCAGTGTGGGGGGGTTGATCTAGAAAGATACCCAATGTCCACCTCTGGTCGTCACTCAAATGCGTTCGCGCGCGCTTGCGAGCACACACACACACACACACACACACACACACTATACAAACATACAAAAATAAAAGTCAAAACAAAAACAAGCTAAAAAAGGAAAGACTCCATGTGGGAGCACTCATGGAGGAGCACAGTCATCTCCCTTGAGCTTGTTCCTGTTCTGCCCTAGGTTTAACTATCTCTTAAAGGAGCAACTGATAAATACTTAAAAAGGGACTGTCAACTATAGCTGATGAGCAGAACTGTGTCCCAATAAAATTTTATTTATAAAAGCAGGAAATGAGCTGAACTGACATGGGTCATATCCCCCATTTGGCAAGATGGGATTTTAGGCATGAGGCTGACTGACCTGAGTCAGGAGTGCTGGCTTGCCCAGCACCACTCAAAGAAACTGAAAGGCAAGGGTTTTGAGATACTTCCTTCATTTTTCATTCTCTCTCTCTCTCTCTCTCTCTCTCTCTCTCTCTCTCTCTCTCTCTCTCTCCTTTTGGATTTTAGATGTCTTAAATTTTATTATACCAGGTTATGTAGGGCAATTTTTATCCAAGAGTGACTGTACCTGGAGTTACCCTCCCATGCCCACTACCCTTCCCTTTCAAGACCCTTTGTCCCCTGAACATCTTCACATCTACTTTCAGGTCACATATACATACATAATTTTAGGAATCAAAAGAGTCACCTCGCTGGAAGGGTTTATTTTTCTCTTAAACCCTAAAAAAAGCTGTCCTTGAGTCTAGTTTTGTTTTTTAAAGCTACAGAAATATGTGGCATTGCCTGCTAAATATGAGATGTTTAGAGTCATATAAAATAATAAATCACTACATGCTGACATAGGTGATTTTATACAACAAAAAAATAAACGTGGTCCTCTTTCTCCCTCCCCCCCCCCAGAATTAGGGACTATCAGGGAGGCATAGCAGGAACAAAGTCCCCCTTCACTCCCCCCCATCCCCCACCCCCCCACCCCACCCCCCGTGAAACCAAGAGAAGTGCCAGGAGAAATGCCAAGGAGCGGAAGCCAACCTGGAGTCACTGAGGACAGACTGACATTTAACACCAGAGGCAAAGTTTAAGTCTCTACAAAGAGCTCCTGATATCTCCCCAGACCACACTCCCCCTCCATCCTTCACTTAGCCCAACCCACTTTCCACTCCCTTCTAATTTCTTGAGCTACTTCCATACACACTGCCCCAGCTACATAGACCTCTGTCCTCTTCCTCACACAGCCAAGCTCACTTCAGAGTCCTTGTACATCTGCTCTCTCTGCCTGGATTCTGAGAGGCACATGGAACAAAAACTGAGACCATACTGGTCCAGCCAAGCCCCAGCCAGTCTACCCAGTAACCTCAAGCAAGATCATCCAAACCTCCCCCATGTCAGCAGAATACCCCAACCAAGTGACAGACTCGCCAGAGAACATAAATCTTAGTGGGTTTGAGTCAGTTCACTGTGGAGTTCCCCATTATACAGCAATACCTAGCTGATGGAGAGGCAGTGCTACTTGTTTTCAGGGGAACTCCAATGGATACATCTCTTCTGTACACTCCTCATCAGGAAAAAAAAAAAAAAAAAAAAAGGAGAGTTGTAGACTTTTGGAGACTTTTAGTCTGCCTTTGCCTAGCATTTCAGCAGTGCCCAACTCTGTGGCTTAGCCTTTTCTGAAACTCTCTCCCCTTGGTTTGTAGGACACTTATTTTCTTTTCCTGATACTGTCACAAAAGACTGACAAAAACAACTGAAGCCAAAGGGATTTCTTGTGGTTCACGTCAGAGGTCCACTGTGGCAGAGGAGCTCTTACAGAAGAATGTGATATGGCCACAACACATGCACAGTCATGACATGAAGAACAGTGAATGTTTGTTCTCACTTTACTTTCTCCATTTTATACACTTGGAGGAGCCCAGCCCAGAAGATGTGTCCCCCACAGGACTTGCCACCTCAATCTACCTACTCAAGAGAATCCCCATAAGCATACCCAGAGCTGAGAGGCCAGGGAAGACAGGAAGATACTCAGAGCTTGTTGATCAATCAGTCTATCCAGTCAGTGGGCTCCAGGTTCAGTGAGATACACAGCCTCAAAAATAAGGTGAAGAGTGATTGGGAAAGACATGCAACATTAACCCAACTTCCACAGATGTGTCCACACAGGAATGAATGGACATACTCACACTCACACAGGAAGAAGAAAATATCCCCTCAAACTAATCTGACTTGGATTTTCTCCTGGCTGGAAGCCAATGGTGAACACATCTTTGGTTCACTCAGATCTGGCAGTTACTTTTGCATAGTCACACCAGAATGTTTTTTAAAAAAAAACTTAGTAACTAAGGATTTAGCCTGGCTCATAGCTTAAGAGACTGGGGCAGGAAGAGCTCCTCCAGGTTAGCTGGAGCAACAGCATGAGACCCTGTCTCAAACAAAGATTTTTAAAGAAGAGGAGGAAAAGTCTGTTCCGTGTTGTCAAGATTTGGATGTGCAGCCTTTGGGGTTGCAGATCCTAGAACTGCAGTGAAATAGAACATAATGGTAATGGGAGTGAGCAAAATGCTGGCAGACTAAAAGCAGAGGATGAAGAAGGGGTTGGGGACCAAGGCTGATCAACCTCTGCACAAAACCAGACCCCAGCCTCTGCTTACCAACAAAACATATCATTTCCTCCAAGATCACCAAATCCATGCTCAGACTGCTGCTTCCTGAGCCATATCAATCTCATTTCCATCTCCATCCTTTCTCACCCACCCTTGCCACTCAACCCTAAGAACTGGCTAGTCTGGAAAACACAAGCTAATCCCTCCTTCAGCTGGCACTCTCCACACCCCAGACATCTCCCTAGGCTCTTACCATTTCATCACTTCATCCAGCTTCTAAATGTTATGGGGGTCTTAGGTGAAGAGTGATCATCTAGGGCTAGCGCTGAAGTCATTCCAAGGGGACAGACAATAAACTGTAGGTCTTAGAAAGACTCCCTCAGACAGGAGAAGGAGTTGGGAAGTGAGGGGCACTGTTGATGAGACAGCTAGAAGTCTTATGTCTGAGATATGAAATCCCAGCCTGCAGGGGTGCAGAGATCAGCAAGGTTCTGGACACAAAGTAACGGTTAAAACTGCTTCTGAGGGCAGTTACAGACCCCACGACAGTTACAGACTCGAGGGCCTTTACAGACCTGGGGGCAACGGACAGAATGAAAGCACCAGGCACTGGAAAAAAACCTATAATAACAAACAGTCCCTACTCCATTAATTAGTGATGCCCTAGGGTGGGGGGGGTGGCTGGCCTAGGGGCTCTGGGTTTGGTTTTTCATAAGCTCCAGGGCCCTCTGCTGGGGATAGACCTTGCTGTGGCCTTAGACTTTGCAACAGTTGCAATATCCTCCAGGGTAGGGGAACAGCCCCACTTCTTAAAGGGCCTAGTCCCTCTGACCCTCTTATCTGATGCTTTCCCTGTGGAGATGCAAGCCAACATCTGTTCACCCCAGATCAGGCACTGACAGCAGACCATAGAAATAACTTCACCTAACTTGGTAAACCATTAAATCTATAGGAGCTACTTACTAAGAGTGTGAAAAGTCCAGTCGCAAACCTGTATCCCTGGGGCCACCTGCTCAGTGTGCAGGCAGCTCCACCTAAGAGTCTCCTCCACTTCTATGTATCACCTTAAGAGAGGGGACTTGAGTGTCCTGTGACCTTCTGAGCTTCCAAAATAAGTTCTTCAAGTATCTTGCACTTCCTGAGCCTCCCTGTTCTCTCTGGAGAGGGGGATGTTCAATTCAAATAAACAGTACACCACACCACAAGGGCTTGCCCTGCCACCAGACCCCATCCTGCTGATGTTTATGGTCAACATAAGACACCTGAGAACAGGTGTATGCCCAATGCCAAAGAGACAGACCCCAACCAATGGTCAGCTGCTGGGACTTGGACAGTCCTCACATGGGGAACACCTATGAATACATATTCCACACATCTGGAGGGGTTACCCAGGAAGCTGAATCTCCATTTCTGCATACTGCTCACTAGCTGACCATCCTATGTCTCATAGATTTCCTTTTCTGTTTTACATCTCAGGATGATTTCAGAGGTCATCCTGTTCCAGGTTCTGATTGTGAAGGATCAGAACGCCTTCAGATCCTCATCTTCTCTGGGTACCACCTTCTCCCCTTGTCTGGACCGGTATATGTGTTCCACTCGTTTCTTGCCAGTGCCCTCTCTCCAGTGTGCTGAAGCTGCTGCCTTCTATGTCTCACCAAAACTGACTTTTAACTATGTGAGTACAATCTTTTCTTTTGTTTGATTTCTCTACAATGTTCAATATATGCCACTCTCCTCTCCCAGCTCTCCTTGCTGGCTTCAGGTCACCCTCTCTGCTCTTCCCTCCACCTACCATTCCTCCCCACATACTCTACCCACCCATAAATGTTGATGCTCCTAACGGCTCCCTACCCTTGGCCTTCTCCTCTTCTTTTGAGTTTATATCCACCTTATCATCATAAGTCACAAGTGGCTCCCCACCACCTTGCCCATTTTGAGCAGGGTCTCAATCCTAGCTGTCAATCAAACCTTCTCTCTTGCACTTCTCTGACTATATCCCAACCATCCATCCAGTCACCCAAGCAGCCCCACTCCCCACCTAGACCAGTACACACCCCATGATTTGAATATTCCCTCATGAGACCATGTGTTAAATGCTTGAAGCCTAGATAGCTATGCTATTTGGAGAGATTCTGGAAACTTCAAGAACCCAGCTAGAAGAACTAGGTCACATGAGGCACATCTTAAACCTGTAACCTAGGACTTTTCCCTCTATTCACTTTTAGTCTACCATGAGACTTGGCCACACACCCCTGTAGCCATGATGTTCTGCCCAAGTGGATGGAGCTGAGCAGTCATAGACAAAACCCTCTGAAATGAGGAGCCAAAATAAGTCTTCCCTCCTTCAAGTTGTTCTCTCGGGTATTGGGGTCACGAGGGTGATAGAGCTAACACCATGTTTCACACTCAAGACTTTTCCATATCACCCACTGCAGGTCTTTCCTGTCCACCAGCACTGACATGGCCACCATCATCAGGCCCAGTCACTGTGTTACTGTTCCTTTGCCCCCAGGGCCAGGTCCCATCTTCCACAGTCAGTGCTGTTATCGCACAAGTGTGAGCAGCTAGTTTCTGCCCCTGCTGTAGTCTGTGCTCACTGACATCCCCAGGCTTCTGTGACACACACCCCCAGGCTATTTTGCTGTCCTGTCCAGCATCACTTCTCCCACACTGGACAATCTCCGGCTCAGTAGCTCTCTTCACTTGCTGAACATCACAACTACCAAAAAACACTCCTTCCAAAAATGACAGTTTATAGGATCAGCTATGGAGAGAGACATTGCACTCTTTCAGTCCCCCACCTGAGACTAGCAGGAGCCCAGGCTGGCAGCACTCTCTAACCCACAGGATAAGAGTCTTTCATCCCCACAACCCTGGTACCCAACACAGTGTGACCTGCCTTAAACTCAGTACAGGTTTGTTGAGTGAATGAATGATTTCTGTTCCCCTCCATCAATGACCATGGAAATGTTGTCATCTTTGCATTTCCCTATCTGCTTCCTCTATTTCCATGCCCCAGCATGTAGTAAATGCTCAATAAATAAACATTTATTGAGTGAATTAATATAGAGACGCCAGAGTCTAGCATCCACCCCGCCCTCATTTTTATAGGCAAGCTCTAAGGGAATAGAGACAAATCAAACTGAACTTCCTACAGTTTTGCTAAAATGGAATTTGCCAAAGACGTACTGAAAAATGGATTTAATTAGGCCCGTTAATAGGGGAGTCGTTGGTGGCAAAGATTTAAAGCCCAGACTGGAAAAGGTATCGATAATTTTACCGTTTTAAATTATATAGGAGGTTATTTCTCACTCTTGCCTTAATTATAAGAATGTGTCTCAACAAAACGTCAGCTTTGGATGGAAATAAAGTAAAAGGTAGCGGTGAGATCTGATGTGTCTCTAAAGTGAAACGTCTGAGGCAGCAGGGCAGGGAAGCAGCTGATTGGTCCAGGGTGCTCACCAAGGTGGGAGCATGACATGTCAGGCCACACAATTGGGCCTCCTTAAACTAACAACTGTCACTAAAACTCAAGTGGCTCTTAACTGCAAGAGCCATCGGTAGCAGGGAGGTACTGCTGTGGTTAAATGGAAGGATCTGGAGGCCTTGGGGCTGTGGGTCTCTTACACCCTCCTTTATTTACATTCAATATCCAAGTTCAAATGTGTTCCACCACTAGGCCTGGTAAAGACACTCACTTGCTCCCCACTTGCCAGCAGAAGAAATCACAGCTGCCCCCAAATTATAATGCTCAGATTGAGGCTCTGGCTTCCTTGAGTTACAAAGAGAATTGAACAGCCATGGGGTATAAGAATCCCTGTTTTCTGGAAATGAGTCTCCATATGTCTATGGAATGGCATTCATTGTATTGACTGTTGCTCCATGACACTGGGTGGTTTACACAGGAGGAGTAGGGTGAAGCAAGAAGGGAAATTTTTCAGACAGCACCAAATATCTAGCAACCAAAATAATCAATACTTTAGTATAGGACTATTAACAGTGAAACTCCATTTTAAATCTCCACGGTGGTCTGGTGCAGAGGCATACACCTGTGATCCCAAAGCTCAGGAAACCGAGACAGGAGGATCCTGAGCTTGAGGGTAGCCTGGACTACATAGTGAGCTCAAGACTGTCCTGGTTCAACTGACTACATAATGAGACTCTGTCTCAAAATTACACACATGTATACATTCACAATGCACAAGACACAAAACTTTTCACTGTGGCACATGGGCCTGCACTTGTGAGACCTATACGCCCTTTCCCTCCCAGCTCTGAGCCCAGGCACCAAGGATACAACAGAGAACTGAGCAGCCTGTCCCCACAATTCCAGTGCTAAGAGTAGAAAATCCAGAATCAAAGAAAGCAGCAGGAGAAGTGGCCACAATGACATCTGCAACCCCTTCTCCAGCCCAGACTTCCTGTCATCTGTTATAAGGAAAGGATTTGTAGTGTTTCTCGAATATATGATCAAAAGCCTGGAACCATTTCTGAAAAGGGGGGGCTCATTTTCTTATTTGTCTCAAGTTTCTGATGGGTCTTGACCCACTTCTGCCAGGCCCCTCTAGCACCAGCTGGAAACAATCATTCGGCACATGAGCCTGGAGTAGGGGTTCGGCTATCTCAGAATCAAACCATGCAAAAGAGATTCCTACTGTCACCTGATTGCACTATAGCCCATGCTCTGACAATGTGGTGTGAGATATGGAGACAGTGGTAACAACTCACCCTGCTACTGCACACATGTATATATAAGTTTGGGTGTTCCCTCCTCCCAGCCTAAGCATTTGGATGTCTATCAGGGAGGATGCCACACATGGAGGAGTGGACTTCTGTGGTGTTAGAAGCTGACTTTGGATAAAAGGACCTGTACATTGGAACAACCAAAGCTTTCAGGTCATTCAACACAAGTTTCCAGCCATATGCTTCATACCTCATGCTAAAGCCAGGCTCCATTTAAAAGGATCTGAACTAAGCTTTGGGTCTTTCTGAACCTTGTCCCCATGTCCCATAACTCCACTGTGAGATTCGGGTGTCCCTGTTAGGTCAGGCACCCAGAAAGTGTGCACTTTGGGAATGGTGGTGCTAGCCTGGGAAGGGCCAGCAGGAGAGACATGCAGAAATTCAGAAGCAGCCCACTTTCTACTTCCCTGACAGTGGATTTCATGGATCACAGAGACAGATGCAAGCACAGCTGCTTATCCAACGGAGAAAAGAACATATTCATTTTCATTCCTTAATGCCTGTTGTGACCTATTCTCTGTCAATCTCTCCTTTTGGAGGCTATAGCTCTTCCTAGGACTTGTCAGTTTAGCCAAAGACAGAAAACAGGCCCTAATGAAAGAATGTCCTGCAGGGAGGGTTCAAGGAGTCTGATGGACCTTGCCAGTAAT